AGACCCTTGGCAAAGGCCACCCTTTTCACTTGCCTTCCATTTGCTTAAGAATATATTTATATGTTTTTGTCTTATTTCTTTTGGACTAACCCCGTTGGTTTTGAAGGAAATCTGTCACTGGACAAATGCTCTCATGTTTTTCAGGCGAAAAGCCGTGGCCAAGGAAAGCCACTTCAGCACGGAACGTGAACACGCTTCACTGATGCGAAAACTTCAAAAAAAAGCTTATCAGGGGACCCTCATGTGCCACATCGATCCAAATGTTTCTGCTAGAACTGACCCGGTTCATTCCCATAGCGATCCGTAAGATGTTGCACATGTCTCAGGCCATGCCATGCACTCTGCATTTAACGCAGGCCTCAGGGTGTTTTTCTCTGGTCCTTCTTTTGCAGGGTACCTTTAAAATAGAGCGCCCAACCTTTGGGTATGCCACAAAGGCCCTACAAGTGCGGCACGAGTTCAGGGATAGGGGTCCATGTGTTTGCCACCAAGGAGTTGACTGGGTTGAATATCTGCCACGAAGGGTGGCTGATGGGAGTGTGTTCCCCTTGTATGTTTAAGCCAGCGGACCAGAAACCGCGCTCAAGGGCGTGCACTTTTTAGCACGCCTGCTGGACTGCTTCGCCCTGGCACTGCGCGCACGCCTGACCATGGTAAGGACACCCGCTCGACTGCTTGGTTATAGAACTGCGCGCGCGCCTGACCATGGTAGGGACGCCCGCTCGACTGCTTCGTTATAGCACTGCGCGCACGCGTGACCATGGTAAGCACACCCGCCCGACTGCTTTATTATAGAACTGCGCGCGCGCGCCTGGCCATGGGAAGCACACCCGCTCGACTGCTTCGTTATAGCACTGCGCGCACGCGTGACCATGGTAGGCACACCCGCCCAACTGCTTTATTATAGAACTGCGCGCGCGCCTGGCCATGGGAAGCACACCCGCTCGACTGCTTCGTTATAGCACTGCGCGCACGCGTGACCATGGTAAGCACACCCGCCCGACTGCTTTATTATAGAACTGCGCGCGCGCCTGGCCATGGGAAGCACACCCGCTCGACTGCTTCGTTATAGCACTGCGCGCACGCGTGACCATGGTAAGCACACCCGCCCGACTGCTTTATTATAGAACTGCGCGCGCGCCTGGCCATGGGAAGCACACCCGCTCGACTGCTTCGTTATAGCACTGCGCGCACGCGTGACCACGCCCGACTGCCTATGGGAAGCACACCCGCTTATAGCACTGCTGACCATGGTAATTACTTGGCCATTTGCTATAGCACTGCGCGCACGCGTGACCATGGTAAGCACACCCGCCCAACTGCTTTATTATAGAACTGCGCGCGCGCCTGGCCATGGGAAGCACACCCTCTCGACTGCTTCGTTATAGCACTGCGCGCACGCGTGACCACCGCCCAGCTGCTTTATTATAACTTGGCGCGCATGCCTGACCACGGTAAGCACACCCGCTCGACTGCTTTGTTATAGAACTGCGCGCACGCGTGACCATGGTAAGCACACCCGCCCAACTGCTTCTTTTTACCACTGGGCACGCCTGACCATGGCAAGCGCGCCCTCTCGACTGCTTTGTTATAGAACTGCGCGCGCGCCTGGCCATGGGAAGCACGCCCGCTCGACTGCCTTGTTATAGCACTGCGCGCGCGCCTGACCATGGGAAGCACACCCGCTCAACTGCTCCGTTTTAACACTGCGCGCGCACCTGACCATGGTACGCGCACCCCCCCGACTGCTTCGTTATAGCACTGCGCGCACGCCTGACCATTGTCAGCACACCCGCTCGACTGCTTCGTTCTAGCACTGCGCGCACGCCTCACCAGGGTAACACCCGCTCAACTGATTTATTATAACTTGGCGCGCATGCCTGACCACGGTAAGCACACCCGCTCGACTGCTTTGTTATAGCACTGCGCGCACACAGAATCAGTTAATCACAGCGAAAAGGTTGTCTGCCATACTGGCATGATAGACTATCTGGTCAAGCTGCAGAGCATATGTCCTGAATTCGCTGCCTTCATGCAGCCCACATGTCCTTTTGTGTGTGAAGTCAGCGGCGCTATGTCTTGCGCCAGCGAGATGTGGAGCAGCAGACTGTCGTTGCGATCGCAAAGATGTTAGAAAGGAGAAGGCAGGGGCGTTTCGGCGCAGCGAAACGCAAAACACTCTAAAACTGAGCCCTCTTTTTCGGAGGTTTTTGGGGGGCTCAATCAGCGTTTCGCTGAGGTGGAACGCAAGTTTTTTCAGAAAAGCGGCAAAACGCGAACGCTGTTTTGGGTCCGCCGGGATGTTTAAGCCATGACAGCTTCACATTGCAAAAAAATATCTAGCGTTTGTTTGCCCCACCTGAAAGATATGGGGTTGATATGCCCAACTAAGCTTTGGGGTGGTGCGGGGCACCTTTCAGGGTTGCGGACGGTTGAAGGGGGTTGGGGCTGCTGGGATACCACCTGCGATTTTTCTTGAAACGCGGTTCCTGATTGTTGAATGAGGATTACGTATCTGATGCACACTCCGTCATCTCCTTTCATGTTGGTGCGAAGGTGTACAGTTTTGCGCAATGTACGACCATCTTGATAGCACCAAGAGTTTCCGTGTCTTGCGCGCAGCGCACATGCTGGTTCGATGCAAAGGGCTGTCCAGATGGCTTTATAGATTCAGCTTGTTTCCTTTCAACCCAGCACACAAATATTTGAAAAACAACTTTGCACACACAGACACATGGAGACTTGATTCCCTTACATCAACCAACGCCAAGGAGTGGTCATGTTGCGCAGCCATGTGGGTGATGTCGTTCTATGAGAAACCATGCCCTTTCGGGCTCTTGGACACGGAATTTAGAACTTACAGGTTCTATGCGTTCCGTGTGTCAGGAGGCGCTTTTCTCCGTCGAGAAAGCTCACAGGCGCCTGAAGTGGGGAGCTCAGGCGAGTCCTAAGTACAGGGTTGATAGAAGATATTGTGCTCCCCAGTAAATTGACATGGAACCCAAAAGAGGGGGGGGGCTCCAAAACAAAGTGTTCTCTACACATGGTGTTTTTTGGTTGATATGCAGAGGAGTACCCTGCGATTCTTCAACCCCCGATGTGTTTTTTTTTTGGGGGGGGTTCCTGGGCTCGGTGGGGAATCATCACTTTTAGAGGCGAACACCCCGCATTCATAGCTAGGTTCCCCGGTAGTACCCTTTTGCCCCTTTTTGGGGAGGGTTCCCCTACTAAAATAGAGTACAGGAAAAATGGGTACCCTTACCTGGAGGACCTAGATAAAATGGCATAATGGGCATTGCGACATCCGAAGCTTTGGGCTCTTCCAGATAGGCTCCGGAGAGGCTCGGAGTGGCTCCGGGCCTTTTCAGAATTCCCTCACCTCGTGGGGATACTTCTTGTTTTTGTCCACCAGGCCGAGCAACGTGGGTATGTCGTCTTTTTGGGGGGTACTCTGTTTGGTGTTAGATTAAGAGACAGCCAAAAGGGCAACTGAAGCCCTGTTTGGGGGTCCAACTCCTGATATGTTGACGAGCCATACCGATGGTATACCGATGGCTTGATTCTTTTTGTATTGTTTTACTTTTTTCCCGCGGGGGGGGGGGACTTAACTTCCCGGCGGTGGATTCTCGTGTCTGCGCTGATCAAGCACGAAGTTCCAAGTTATCAGTTGGTGTGAACTGGTGATCACCTTGACTTCTAATGGCTGAAATGCTTTTGCAAGTTTGATCCCCTCTTGGTTTTAAAGGGAATCGATTTCACTACTGGACATATTTGTTCCAGGGGGCTTAAGCAAATGGAGGTGTATAGTGAGTAACCATCAGTACAGGGATCTCCAATTAATTTGTGGATTTCCCACCCACCTCCTGGTTGAAATCTCATGCTAGCTTGGCTGTTGCCGGGGCTGTTGGGGATCAGCTTTTTTTGGGTGATTTTTTTGGCCTCGAAAAGAACGCCTGGAGATCAATGACCTCAAATTTTGACTCACTTGCCCAATTGGATCCAGACCTGTGGGTACCAAAATCGCATGTTTCGGTTGGAGTCTCAATTACTTGGGCCCTTTTAGTCAAGGTGCCAAGTTGTGTCTATTAAACGCATGCAATTCTTTCCAATCCTTGGCATCTGAGCAAAGCATGAACAGAGTCAACTTGAAAGCCGAAGCCACATGAAGTCTGGATTGATAAGCCTGGTTGATTAATTCATGGGTAGGGGTGGGGGATTCATCACTTTTGGAGGGGAACCCTCCCCTATGAATATGACTTGAGTTTTTCATCCGGGTCGGCAGGATCTTCTAAGTTACGGACAGTGGTGAAGCAAACCTTACTTTGTCCAACCCCAGCGGATCCGCTTGTGGGTCTCAGAACGGGACCAGAGTTGTTTGATCGGATATTTAGAAACAAAAACATTCCAATCGTTTTAACGTGGCTGCGTTTTGGTTTGACCCTTTGAACTCTCACTCTTTCTGGGAACAATATGTCCTTTCATTTACCAAGAGAAACACACGCAAAGGGGTCAACGACCAACTGACTATCTCTTGAGTGTAGAGCCGTCAAGCCCACCAGCAACCAACAAAAAACACGTTTCGCTTGCAAGCGGGGCCTCATCGAGTTGTTCAAAGCTCCACCCTCTGAGCTTACACC